TTTTTTCTCAGGTTTCTTTTTTTGTGTTTTTCCTTCCTTGGTTTCTTTTTTTATTTATTTTTTTTAAATCTTTTTACTCGGTTTCTTTTTTTATCTGTTTCTTCTACACTTCATCTGTCACCGCCTCGGCAGATAGGACAACTACGGTGAGGATGACGGCGATGTTCACAGGGATACCCAAGGAGAGTTGCGCTAGTACAGCATTCAGCCGGACGGCTAGCACGTATATATACTTTGGCAGTGGCGCTTCCACACTATCTATCCGGTTTGGTGTCAGTAGCTTTCAGACACATATTGCCAACAGGCACACAGCAATGCTGTAACGATTTCACACATGTCCTTATTACATTAATTGTTGGTTCATGAATCCATACATCCTAAGGATAGTGCCGTCACCTAATAATGGTTATCCAACTTTTTTTTTTACTTTTTTTTTTACTTTTTTTTTTTGTAAAGCAAACGCCCCCATCAGTGTTAGTGCTGCTGATAAGAGCAGACACCACTAGCACCTGGGGGGCGGCGGCTCCATCTATTGGTGGGGAGCATCACCTGCTGTAAAACGGGTCCAGCGTCCCATATACAGACTGAACTGAATGTGGCGCATATCAGAAAAACGATTGTGGGGGATTCCTGCCAGCATTGATTACCCTGGGATCCAGGGGATTTTTTTTTTTTTTTTTTAATGGATCCAGGGGATTAACTGAGCAGGATATTAGAAAGAGGGGGAAGAATCTCTTCACCCTGACACCGGCGCCAGATACCTGCTTTTACACACTAATTCTTCCCTCCAACTTGTTCTCCGTCCCTACTCTTTTTTATGCGATGCCAGTGAAGCGGTGGTGGTCCACCACCACCACCTTCTTCTTCTTCTTCTTCTTCTTCTTCTTCTTCTTTTTCTTCTTCTTCTTCTTCTTCTTCTTCACAAGAAGAAGTGGTCCTCGTCATTGTCATTTGCGGTTACTTGGGCATTTCCATACATGATGGCAATCGCTGTGGAGGTGAGCTGTCCTCTTTCCAAATCCCTTCCCTCGGTGACTTCGCCTTCTTGATTGATTCCCCGATTTTCTTCCCTTGTTGAAGTAATTAATGGTTCATTATCTTAGCCTTGCCCTTTCATTCAAATGCATCTCACATACTGTAATTGTTCAAGAATCAAACACTGCACTCAGACTTTACGTTTGACGTAATCGATTCCTCATGTATTTCCTCTACACACCACCCATCCATCCATCTTCTTGCTCTCTCGGTAATTCATTCCTCAGCATACTCCTTTTTGGCGCGAGTGGAGCCGACAGCATACTCCTTTTTGGCGCGAGATATTGGCTGCTGTGACAGCAGCCAGGTCTGATTGCCAAAACAGACTGCCAGGTCTCTGGGTCGTGTGTACAGGAAATATACGAGGAAACGATTACGTCAGACGTAAAGTCTGAGTGCAGTGATTGATTTTTAAGACAATAAATTATCGAGACAGCAAAGAACTGTGTGCCAAAGTATGCTGAGGAATAAATTACCGAGACAGCTGGCAGTCTGTTTGGGCAATCAGACCTGGCACTTCCTGTAGGGAGATAATTGGCTGCTGTGACAGCAGCCATGTCTGACTGATTGCCACAACAGATTGCCAGGTGTTCGCAGTCGTGGGGGTTCTGGTTAGCTGGGCGACTGACAGATCTCCCGTTTGTTGTGTGACATGGTTAGCAGGGCGACTGGCGCGTCTTGGGGATGCTGTGCGGCTCAGGTAAGAGACAGCTGGCAGCCTGTTTGGGCAATCAGACCTGGCACTTCCTGTAGGGAGATAATTGGCTGCTGTGACAGCAGCCATGGCTGACTGATTGCCACAACAGATTGCCAGGTGTTCGCAGTCGCGGGGTCCTGGGTAGCTGGGCGACTGACGGATCTCCGGTTTGTTGTGTGACATGGTTAGCAGCGCGACTGGCGCATCTTGGGGTTACTCTGTGGCTCAGGTAAGAGACAGCTGGCAGCCTGTTTGGGCAATCAGACCTGGCACTTCCTGTAGGGGAGATAATTGGCTGCTGTGACAGCAGCCAGGTCTGACTGATTGCCAAAACAGACTGGCAGGTGTTCGCAGTCGTGGGGGTCCTGGTTAGCTGGGTGACTGACAGATCTCCGGTTTGTTGTGTGACAAGGTTGGCAGGGCGACTGGCGCATCTTGGGGTTGCTGTGTGGGTCAGGTAAGAGAGAGGGACACACAGGCGGGCTTCAAATATGTTCAAGAAACCGAGCGGTGTGAAAGGCCAACAACGATTGTCTGGAGCCGACAGCAAAAAGCTGCGCAAAGCGATCCGCGACAAATTCCACACGCTGTCTGACGAAGATCTCGATGTGCTTTTCCCACCCAAAGTTGAAGTTTACGTCGTTCGGTTAACCAATCGCGCGTCGCTGTATTCTGTCGATTCCGGTCCGCCAATCTTCTTCGATGCCGATGGGCGTGGGGCGTTGTACCCGACAGTGTACGGCCTCTGGAAGGTTCCTCACATCGTTCCTTCCTTCACCCTCAAGGGGGGGGAAGTTTCCCGGTATGTCCTCGGAGGGGCAGACCTTATGTTCCCGGGAATCGATGTCCCGGATGGAGGGCTGCCGGGATTCGGTGTGGGAGAGATATGGGCCATCAAGGTGCCGTTCAACGATTCGCCCATCGCTGTGGGAATTACGGTGATGAGCAGCGCGGATGGGATGAAGGCAAAACTCCGTGGAAAGTTGCTCCACGTCGCTCATTACTACAGAGACTGGCTCTGGGATTCCGCCGACGGCAAGTATGTGCCAAACGAAGGATTCAAGGAGGATATCGTGGTAGAGGATCCTAATGTGCTGGCCAAGATGGAGGCCGCGTTTGCCAGCGTGGCCTCAGGGGAAGCAGACACGTCAGCGAAGGTTGAACATGGTGGGGAGTCCGAGAAAGCGGAGGATGCTGTAGAGAGGGGGATGACCTCCCATCTGGCATGGGAGTTGGGATCGACAGCAGCAGCCGCCGCGGATAACGTCGAGGGTGCACCGACCAATCATGAAGCTGATGGCCGAGCTTCGGAGATGCTGGTAAATGCAGAGACAGCTAGTGAAAGTGGTCCACGTGCTTCACGGGCTGCTGTCATGACGGATCTGCACGGACTTGTACTGAGCGATAAGGGGTCAGGGGTGGGGAACGACGAGGCCGACACCCACTTTGCTGCAGTGGGAGAATCTGTCTCATCAGGCACGCCGGTGTCAGGCCCAGCAGCAGCGTCCATGACCGTCGACGAGGTGGATGCGCTACTAGAGAAGAGCTTCCTTCAAGCTCTGCACACGTCTGTCAAGGATCGGGATCTGCCCATTGCGGCGGGCAACCTCTGGTCGGCCCACATTCTTCTTTGCCGCCCTCCAGGGACTCATCTAGACGTCAAGAAGTCTTCGTACAAGAAGATGTCCAAATTCTTGCAGGCGAAGGCTGCTGAAGGTCTGGTATCGGCCAAGGAGGATAAACATCGCAAGGAGATGATGCTCGTCTCGATTAATAGAGGCCACCCAACATACATGGAGTTCGTACCGGAGAAACGGATGGCAGGGAGTGTGCAGCAGCAGGAGAAGCAAAGTGTGGCAGTCTCGGGAGGAGGAGGAGGAGGAGGAGCATCGGGGAAAGAGAATACACCTCAGATTGAAGTCTGTGAAGTTTGGAAACCGGTGGCGGCAGTGTTGCCCATATTCGTGGCAGTGGGTGCAGATCCTGCGGGCTTGTATCGATACGACGAAGTGCTTGGAATTGGGTTTAAGTACATAGAGAAGGAGGGATTGACGAAGGCGAACGACAAGGCGATTGTGACTTTAGATGCGACTTTATGCGATGCCTTGTTTAAGGGTGCAATCAAGAAAGGGACAAGTTATCCCAGCGAGATTGCAAAGAAAGATGTCGGGCCGGCGTTCATCCGACGGATGCAAGCTCACCACAGGGTAACGAGGGACGGAGTCTCCGTGGTTAGGAAGGGGGCACTGAGACCAGTGCAAATTTTCACCGAGAAACGACAAGGCAATAAGAAAATGACGAGGATGTCAGGGGTAGAGTCTTTCCTGGTCGATGCAGAGGCCTTGGCGGCGGAGCTGCAGAAAAGGTTTGCTTGCAGCACGAGTGCGGCGGAATTGGCGGGGAAGAAGGGGCAGTTCGAGGTCCTGGTACAAGGAGGGGTTCTCGAAGAACTCGCACATCATATGATCACCCACTACGGAATACCCAAGAAGCACATTGAGGTGATGGACAAAACTAAAGGAGGAGGACGGCATTGATCAATTGATTGATTGAACGAGGCTCCGTGATGCTTACTGCAACTGAGTTGGCGCAGAAGAAGGGTCACAGTTGGTAAGGTCCTTACTGCAACAGAATACCAAAGAAGCACATTGAGGTGATGGACAAAACTAAAGGAGGAGGACGGCATTGATCAATTGATTGATTGAACGAGGCTCCGTGATGCTTACTGCAACTGAGTTGGCGCAGAAGAAGGGTCACAGTTGGTAAGGTCCTTACTGCAACAGAATACCAAAGAAGCACATTGAGGTGATGTGCAAAACTGACAGGAGGAATGCGTTGATTGAGGCTCTGTGATGCTTTCTGCGGCATTGATGAGGCTCTGTGATGCCCAGATTTGCGTAGAGCAGCGGGGTAATGGTGATCTGTTTGCAATCAATATGTCATCATTGGTATGTCAGTCGATCGATATGGTATTAATATGTCATCAACCGACAGATCGGTAGGAGCCCGTGCTGTAGCTGGCAGGAATATTCTGTGGCAGTGTTGTCTTCTTTCTTCTTCACTCGTAGTAGGCGTTTTGGCGGTGGGATAGGGCGAGTTAGGAGTTTTGTTGGTGGGTGAGGGCGATTTGGAATTAGAGTAAAAAAACTCTCGTGTTCTGCTTCCAGCTGCAGCATGTATACGTAAACGCGAAAAGGGTTGAGAATTGAGCTTTCGACAATGATAATGGGTCTTCCTTTTTCTGTTCCCCCCCTCTCTCCCTTTGTGTGTTATCCATTGGCTAAAGACAACTCGATAGAAACAGGGTGACAGTACAAACTGCGGCATATGACAATGTATACGGAGACGCGAAGAGCATTGAGAATTGAGCTTTTGACAATGGCATGAGGTCTTCTTTTTCTTTTTTTTTACCCCCGCCTGCAGGGTGTGACTTCAACAGGCTGTGTCGTCTGACTTTCACTGACTCATCAGGAGATTGAACCTTCTGTGGGTGCCCCTGTGTGTGTGTGTGTGTGTGTGTGT